AGATCTGCTCGAGCCGGTTGCGCGGCTGGAACGCGCCGAGGTCCACGAACGCCGGCGGCTGTGCGCCGTCTTGCGGGCCGGCTTCCGCCACGCTGGGACCGCCGGCCGCGTCCTCGATGCCCCCGCTTTTGCCCGAGGGGTTTGACGCGCCGTGTTCGGGCATTCTGCGGGCGTTGTGGCCGATGATGTCCAGCACATCGAGGTCCAGGCGCACGGGGACCCGGAAAACGCGGGGCGGGGCGGCCGCCGGCGCCGGCGCCTGCCGCAAACACGCGAGGACACGCTGGTGGTTGTTGCCGGATGCAATGAACGGCGCCACGAGCTTGAGTTCCGACATATGGGGGTGTTTTGTGGCGGCAGAAGAGGGGGGTGTGGTGCGAATGGGTGTGTTTTAGGAGAATGCGGCCTGGGATGATGGGCCTGAGATAATGGGGCCTGAGATGCTGGGGCCTGCGAAAATGGGGCCTGCGAAAATGGTGCCTCGGAAAATGCGGCCTGCGAATATGGACCGGCGAAAATGGACCTGCGAAATCGAAGCGGAGCCGCAGGCCTGGCAATCACCAAGATTTGTGAGCACATATCCCTAGGCTACCTTCATATATTATCACCAGCGTTCCGTATGAATCCTACAACCTCCCTTCTGTATGTGTCTTTATCCGCACTGATTGGCACGGTGGTTGTCCCGTGATTCATGGAGTGATATCCGCATGTCTTGTGGCTGCCCGAAATACAACGATCCCCGGATTTTTTAGTACATTGATCGCTGGTTTCCAATCACATAATAAATATTCTACCGACGTCAGTAGTTTCTGCTGGATGTGGTGAATGGCGCCCGAGCTTAAGTTCCGACATCTGGGGTGTTTTGTGGCGGCAAAAGAGGGGGGTGTGGTGCGAATGGGGAGTGTTTTGGGGAAACGCGGCCTGGGAAAACAGGGCCTGCGAAATTGCGGCTGCAAAATTGAGGCTGCGAAAATGGGCGGGGCAGAATGGGCTTGGAAGAATGGGGCCTAAATGCGGCCTGCGCCTGGGAAAATGCGGCCTGCGAAAATGGGCCTACGAAAATGCGGCCTGAAATGGGGCCTCCCTTTACTGAAGTTATTAGATCAATGCTGCAAGAGTCCACACGTTCTCTTTCTGCTCCGAGATCTATGGCGTAGTGGTACTTTCCCCGACCAGCTGGAGGATATTTCCCCGTTGGTTCGAAGGCTATCCGATTTGTATGCGAAAAAAAGAGTGCCTTGTCGTTTTGATGTGTTCTCAGAATCTCCCAGAATCAGTCACACGTCGCAAGTAGTTCCACACACCTTCATGTCAGAATAATGAGTATCTGGTCTCGTTTGGGTGCACTCATAAGTGGTTTCGGGAATCCCTATTATATTGATGAAAAGACCCATCTCTCTACAAATACTTCACTCCAATAACTCTAACAATATATCTACCCCAGTGATATTTCATTCCATTAATGTTAATGCCTAATTCCTACTGCTGTCAAAGAGAGCTCCCTGAAATTCAAAAGCCAAATATGTCACAATTCAAGTCTGATGAGCTGGGATGAAAGAATTGCCCAGAGCATGTACTTGCGAACCACGATCAGTGGGTAAAAACATGGACGGACATGCGGCTCATATATCTGCTTGCGGCCGTATAGTCAGCAGAGCTGAAGGTGCATATATTCACTATCTCGCATTCGGTCTTGTCTTCGCTGAGCTTAAGGTATCTAATTGCCAAATCACTTGAATTGAATTCAGGACCACTTAAAAGATTCTTTTGTGGCTGACAGTGCTGTCAGATTCTTTTTAGGAAGGTAAAGAATGATGTCGAAGTGAACAGTTCGTAGAATACGCTTCTGTACAGAGCAAGCTTCACGCCCAACTAGAATGAAACCGAACCAAATAGCGGGCATAGAATGGATTAAATAAATACAAAGAATAAGGAGAATTGAATGGAAAACTTTTTGGTATGTTTAAGTATAATGGTTTAGTACTATTAATCTAACTAATTAGATATCCCCGGCATCATTTCAGACGGTTCACAAACATTGAGTACACATTGAAAGTTAATTTTATCCAACATCTCAAGCCTACTGCTTCACGCTTTTGCATGAGTACGTATATTTCACTTGCAGTTTGTAAAGAAGGTTTGGGAAGGCCTTCAGAAGTTTTCATGTGATTTCCCCCAGATTGGCCTTTGGGGCAGAACTGATGTTCTAGAGGCCATTTCTTCAAGAGCTTGTATTAATAAAGAGAAAATTGTAACAGCCAGAGTACTGTTTTTTGTTTGAACGTAGCGAAAAGGTTTTCTTGGTGAGACTTTTGAGCTCCATGGAAGTTGGAGGCTTAGATAAAATCATTGGCAAGGTCGAAAAATATTTAGCCGAGAGGTTTGGAAAATCTTGAGAAACTCCTTCGTGCTGGGGATAGAGCCTTGTAATTTGCTCTTCAACGAAGAATTTCTTGTGAGCGCAAGTCATCAGCATGAGTATTCCATCACCTTTCAGAGTATTTTGCCTTTTTCAAAATTCAATTACATAGAGGTAGACGGGAGAGCTTGTCAAAAAAATTGACTTTCACGGCTTACCACGCAATAAATATGCGTTTTATCCACCGTTGCCAAGTGCTTGCAGACTCAACATCTGTCCCTCAGCATGAGTTTTCAAAGCAGCTCATTTTAATGTATATGGAACAAAACAAACTTTAATAATTTATCCGAATATGACTGCAACCGGTCATTTACTATCATCTAGTGTGTAAAACTACAATTCTGTCTGACTCTCGTAATTTCAATTTCAGTACTAGACCCGACCCACAACCAAAGCTGGGGTATTTGTGTATATTTCATATATTCACAATTGGTGCCTTGAAGCGGATGTAAATTATGTACGAAGTCACAAGAGCAGAACTGGTGTTTTGTGCTGATGAAGACGCCCTATGCTTTTCTACCATACGCTTTAATTCACAAATTTGAGATATTAGAATCAAGCAAAAGAACAAAATTGCTAGATACAGAACTTTGTGTAGAACCACCACAGCGTTTTTGTGGGATGAAAATTGTTGGACAATTATTGAAAATGAGACAGATACCACAAGATAAACATCTCGCAATGGCTCTTTTGCTCACCAAAAATAGAAAGTCGAAAAGGCTACTGCCTCATACAAAATTCTGATATAAGCCCATCAATTTGTACTTTTCATATGCTGCACAGCCTGGAATGTCCATTGACCCAGTAGATAGAGCTAAAATTCATCATTCCAGGTTAGCTGCCTACAATATTCGGCACCACTGTTATGTCTCAGGAGCTCAATAATGGGCGAGCTAAAGTCAATGTCGCCCTAACAAGGTGTGGAAGCTTTCTATCACATCTTTACTTTTTACCAGGAACCCTTCCACTAAACACCAGGAACACAACAGATTAGCTGTTCTAGACAACTGCTTTTAATTATTGAACTCATGTGGTTAGAATCAAGTTTGCGAGTTGTAAACGTGGTCTCTATCAAAATACGTATCAGGGTCACATCGTGGCCCACCCCACTTGGCGCACTTCGATCTTCGGGGTATGCTGTGTTATACATCCGTAGAAAATTCTTATACTCAATGGCGCTTGTAGAAAGTTTTTTTGAATTAAAAAGAAATCGGAAGGTGTAGTCCACCATAAATCCTAGGTATGGTAGTAATACAACCATGACTTCTTTTGATTATAGAATGATCTTACAATAATTGCGGCTCTATAATTTCAGACCTGTGCAAGACAAAATTCTAGGGTGCTAGCAATTTATTCAAGTCAAGCAGAAACTCGAGTCTCACGGCATCTTTGGCAACTCTGAGAATGATCATTGTATTGAAGAGTGCCGCGGACTACTCAACAAACATGAGGCTTTCATGACAAACTACACGATAAATTATTTATGATGCTGCAATATAAAAATTATACACGAAAGTTAGAACGCCTGTGTCATATATAACTCGCTGTCGGTGTGTTTATATGACATGAGTGAGGAGAAAGCACGGACTATTTTGCAGTCGTCGTTGTTCGGCTTATGACCTCAATGCAAAGGTGTAGAACACCCAACTACATGTTTTGGTGTAGAGCCTTTCTATTTTTGGATGAACAAAATAATTTACATACTTTGTGACACTATTTCCAAATCCACCTGGCACGTGTCCATCCAATCAATCAGTTGAAGGGTTTGCATGGCTCTGCGCAGTCTTTCCAACACTTTAAAAGACAAGGTTGGTAAATATCAGTTGCTAAGAGAAGAATGTAGCTGTAAGTGAATGTGTTTGTTGGCTCGCTGTGGTATATAGTGTAGCCGTGTGGTGACTGATGAAGTCTCATTTAGATTTATGTACGGTGGCTAATTTTGTTCCCGATCGAGCGGTGAATTGTAAACCTTGCCCTGCGGAATTTCCAGAGAAAATAGAGCATTAGGAAAATGAAGCGGTAATCAAGAACGTTGAAGTAAACTGGCAAAATCTAACAAGGAAGACGTCTCCGTGCGTAGACTGGCCTATTCTAGGCCCTGTTTAAAGTGCCTTACGTTAAAAAGAGGTGGTGTATTTCGGGGAATGTCCATAAATTACTAATATTATCAGCCATAGCCATAGGAGTTCCGTTCGGGACCGGGTAGGCATTCCTTTTTGGGGCATACCCGAATGGGAGGGGCGGGCATTACATATGTTAGGTATATAAAACCCAATTAGTATTTTATATTAGAGTGTAATAGTATAGATACCAAGAGGTGAATTAATTAAAAACATGATCAAGATGATAAAGACGACAAAGTTGATATTACCGTAAGTTAATGGATATAAAGCAAAAGGCTAAAAATGTCCTTTAGGTATACCTACATTGAACAACATATATATTATATATTTTTATAGGTGGCCTATACCCTATTATAGCACTCTTTGTGTCGTATTATATATCTGCTTGATAATGTCGTCATTGAATTTTCTTTCTTTTTTTTTTCTTGCTGTATTTAAAGTATAGACCTGGTAGAGGAAAAGAGTAGTATGCTATAATTCTAATCATTATAACGTGAACTAATAACTGACAAAGGTCCCCATAGAAAAAAGATCTCTATCTGGTCAGAGAGGTGTCGTATATATCTCATGAGCCAGGGTTTTGAAGATGGTAGAGGTAGACCCAATATACCTTTTCCTGGAAGTGTCAAATGAGTTAGATACTCATAAACAATCATATAAGATAAGATAATATACCTCGCGGAGCGGGTGATACATCGGGAATATAATACAGTTAAAAATACCATGGCATATTAATGGACCACCCTTCCCCTTTTCCGAAAGGAACTCCTATCCTATCGGGCTGGATATATTTATTAAAAATTCAAGATCTTACATTTTATTCAACTAAGATCTAGATGGTGTAGATATCTTATATATAAAGAGCTACATGTTTAGTAATATACGTTTAGTTATATATTTTCACAAGTATATAATAAAAAGTATAGATATGTAGAAGGATTAAAACAAATAAAGATATATGACTGGAGGCATTCATTCCTGGATTTTAGGTCCTATGTGGGATGACCCCAGTGTAAGTTAAGAATGGGTAATAAATTATAATCCTTATATCTAACTTAATCTGAATATGCGATACACAGCACACAATACGAACAACAAAGATCCCCGCTTCCCAAAGGACAAAACCCATCCTTTCGAAGTGTTTTGTTCAACACGCGCATGATTTGATACACGAACCTTTTATTCCCCGGGCTCTCGGCATATTCCCAGACACTCTAGCCAATGATTTATCTCCCTTGAGTTCAATCGCCCTTGATGTTGCAAGCTAGGAGGATGCCTGTCTACTTTCCGCACATCAGTCTTGAGTGCTCTTGAAAGATGGGTCATGCCATCACAGGAAGCTACTCCACCATAAATCCAACGGCAATACACGCACCACGGAACCAGATACAAGCTAGAATAAAGAAATACGATGAACACGCAACAGACCCAGCTCAAAACCATCTCTGATCTTTCTTTGACCATGCCAAAAATAATGCAAAGGAGCGCAATGGAATTAGCCAGACGTGCCATCCTGCCCTGGCTGCGCGACCTGCGCCAGCCGGCTAATACTTTCGTGTGTCAGCCAGAATTTGCAGGCCAGGCCCTAAATTTAAGGACCAAAAGCCCAATCCTTCGAGAATAGATCAAATTCTAAATGATAAACACAAAAACGGCACATGCATGGCTTTGGTCACAGCGAACCAACGCATGTCTTCCTCACCAGCGATGGACTGCGGGCGCCTTAGTGCTTCGGTATTAGGGCGGGCTATTTTTCACCCAAAAAAAGAAGAGGCGGCTGTCATGTCTTTAGCTGACTTTGTTTCTAAGCACCAACCCTCGGCGTTTCTGGCGATATGTCCAGGCAAATCCCCCTGACTAAAAAGATCAATGTCTGGGGCCCCATGGCCCATGTCTCCCATGGCCCCGCGCAGACACAATTTTCTGGCCCCGCGCAGACACAATTTCCTGGCCCCGCGCAGACACAATTTCCTGGCCCCGGCCGTATTTCCTGGCGCCAGCAGGCTTTGTTCTCTGGTCCCGCGCAGGCTCCGGGGTAATACAACTAAATCATTAATAGTCAAACATATTATTATTGTACCGTCCGACTTACGACCTTCATGAATGAGAGATTATTATTACGTATTAACTTACCCGTTCTTAAATCGATGGCTTTCCTATTTTCATGATTGAATCTAGGTTCCAACTTATACGTTGAATGGGAAATCAGATACTGAAGATCGCATGTTGGAGCAGGTGTTCATATTGAAACTATTAAATGTTCCATCATCAGAGGAAATCTTTAATATATGGCTAAAGGATGCTGCTTACAGTCTGAATAAATAGATTAATGATGCTCTAGAGGGATTAAATGAACGAATTTTCAATCCTGCTAATAATCATAATGAGCAACTTTGTAATTCTCTACATGTACGACTTCGCCAGATAAACGCACCGGAGCCGTAATTTATACATCATACCTATAACTTAGCTTATAATTATTTCTAACTCCATAGATCTTATCTACATAATCTAACTAAAAGGTGTACCAAAAACTCAATATACGAAAATAAATAGATAATAGAGGCAAACAATTTATTAAACTTTGACAACAATAAATTAAACGATTGTGATATCCATCATACAAAATACCACCAAATATCTAAAACCAGGAGAAACAAAACCATGAGCAATGGAAAGAATTGTTTCATCAAAGTAAGATCAATTATAATATACCATATAAATAAACATTAAAAAGTACATTCTAAAGAAGAACACAATTATATTTAAAAAATGAGTTTTATTTATGATCAGTTTCATTGATACAATGGGTTTGAGCTTGGGGTCATACTTCGCCCAAGTTATTTCTTTACTGCTTTTATAGTTTCCTGCCCCAGGCCCAATTGATGATCGATTATACCCTGAAGGTGTTAATTATTAAGAGACGTTTAACTTACAAAAAACTTCAGTATATTTAAAACTCAACTTAAAATTGGTTTATAACATATCCCACCGGTCATCTCATTAATTCTCATATTATTAATATTGGCCCCAGCAGGCATAATGCTTTGGCCCCAGGCCCATTGTTCTGACCCCGGCCCAACTGATGATCGATTTTATCAAAAGTTATAATTATCAAGGGACATTTAACCTCCATAAACCTTCAGTATACGTTTACATAAACTTATAATTAGTTCATAAAATATCCGAATGGCCATACTTTTTTATTAATTCTCGTATCATCCATATTGGTCCCCAGCCCAATGTTCTGGCCCCAGACTCAGTTCCCTGGCCCCAGGCCCAATTGACGATCGATTTTAAGTAATTGATTATTAAAGGACAGTTAACATACATAAAGCTTAAGTATACTTTAAATCCAACTTATAATTGATTTATAACATATCCAACCAATCATACCTTCATTAATGTTCACATTATCCATATTATCCATATTGGCCCCAGGCCCAATGCTGTGGACCCGGCCCGATTGATGATCGACTATATATGAGGGTATTAATTAATAAAGCACATTTAACTCACAAATACTTCAGTCTACTTTAAACTCAACTAAATATCCAACCGGTCACACATCATTGATTCTCATTTTATCCGTATTGGCCCCACGCCCAATGTTATGGCCCCGGCCCCATTGATGATCGACTATATCCAGGAGGTAATAACTACGAAAGGACATTTAATTTATATAAAGCTCAAGTATACTCTAAACTCC